GTTCAATTACTCATTGTTCCGTCACGTTGTGACCATCTTATATATACCAGACTATCCCCAATCTAGTAGTCTCCCAACAATTCACGAAGGAACACGACATTTCTAGAAGGAGGTGGCGTGATACTAGTCACGTGACCTCGCTGACGCAACAATATATAACTATAGGAATAGACCATATATAAAAAAACAACACAAAAACGGGTGCATTTAATTTTATTTGCTCAAGAATTAGATTATATTTCTGATCAACCTAGTAAATGGAACACGCACATTGACTTATAAATATTAAGTATTCAAATCATGTAATAGGTAGTTTGTAGTTAAAGACAAAGCTACACAATGGATTATTTGTGCTATGCCCACCTCGGGTACCGAAACCCGGTTTTTAGCGTTATAAACCTTCAGACTTGCCACTAAATGGCAAATTATCTAACAGAGAAAAAAAATCAATTAAAAGCAGTTCCTAGATCAAGGTTAACCTCGGGGCAACTCTTAACTTCAAGCGCAGACCTTGGGCAACTGTTTTAATAATTAATTTCATTTTTGTGTGGCTATTCAAGTAAAAACTTAATGAAAAATAAATGTTCGAACAACAAACGAGTACACTTGGAAATTACATGATCAATTTTCACACGGAAACATCATCAACACATACAGTTAATCCATCATATGTCTCTCACTTGTTTCTCGTGCAACTTACGGTTACGTTACCAGCGTGCCAAATTAGAAAACTGACGTATATTTTAGGGCCTATCCATACTGAGGCTTTTTTTCGTACTAAGTACGGTTGGGTTCGTTTGGAGAACAGTGTAAACAACAAAGTTCGATTGGTAAACGAACCGAACAGGGTCTACAAAAAAAAAAAAATGTTCTCGGTCCGTTCGGTAAAAATAACTGAGTTTGTTTCGCCTGAAAAAGTTTATGTGAATACTGGAAGGCCTCGATGAGTGCTAACAAAACACGGAAGGGAACGAAAACAAACTCCTTTTCATTTCAAAACGAACTACGCACGTTTATACTCAAAGCAAATGTGAACAACTAGAACTTTCATCAAAGCAACAGAACCGAAAGTGTTAGAAACGATTATACTGTAACTACTGCCTTAAATCTATTCAGCTCGACATTAATGTGAAGCCCAAATAATCATATCAAATAGAACAAACCAAAATATACGTTTAACCAGGTTTTTTTTTTTTTACATGCATACTCGTGGGCCGTTTGGTAATAGAAAACTAAGAATGGTAACGTTCGGCCAAAATATTTTTGTACAAAAACAAATAAAGGTTGTTTTTTTTTTATGGTGTTACTTTCCTTAATCAATCTCAATCATATAGGATAATACCATTATCGTAAAAGATCGGGATGTCCTGGCCAAATTTTGAGGCAGGTATAATACCGTATGAATTCAGACGTATTTTACCTACACAGGTATCGAAACCCGTTTTCTAGCGTTTTACGTCCGCAGACATGCTACTGGGAGATGGGCAACTTAGAAAAATATGGAATATTTAAACTACACAACAAAAGTACTTCTCTTAGATATATATTTGTTCTCTAGCAAACAATGACGTAAACACTGACAACAAACTCCGGATACCCTGAACAAACAAAAGTTCAAATTTCTTTATTTTCTAAACGTCAAGGAGAGAAATCAGCTAGGCGGTTTAATTTTGGATCACCATTCCTGCAGTTTCTTGTCAATCAACATCTTGAACACTTTGGCTTGCAGCAGATAGTCACGTGGAAAGGCACGAAACTTCTAATGTAACATGATGAAGTACGTTAGGTGGCCGTGGAAAATACTGAGCTGCGTGAAGATTGAAGGCATGTAATTACACGATACCCTTAACGGTGCCCGCGCCCATCCCAAGAACGCTTACACTGAACAACCTCGAAAGAAAATATAGACTCGCCTGAGCATCGTGCACCAGTAATGATGGTAAATCGTCCAGTGGCGGCTGTGGGCTGGAACAAAGACAGCCGATCAAGTGCTTACGACGCAGTCTACCAGAAGAGAGAGAGAAGGAAGTGACCAGCTGAAGAGCGTAGCTATCCCGTGATAGCAAACTCGGAACCACATTTTCTGCCGGAGCTGGTATCGGATTGGTATTTTTTTGTGAGTTGAGTACAAAGCTAAATCAGGTATTTGATTCCTCTGTCCATTACTTGGATATTTTTTTGTAAATGCAGTATGTCAACAACGTTAAAATAACTAGGGTGTGCGTTTTTTCTTCTTATCTTCATGAAGAACTGAGTTACTTCTTGTTCCTCTAAATGTTATTGTTGCTGATTTCACAAACTGTTCTTATTAAATGACATAGAATAACATAGTGATATGTTCAAAACCCACATAACTGGTGCAGAGTCAATAACTATTCAAAGGATCGTTTAAACAAACGAAAAGTAATCTGGTTGGTTTATCCAACAGTTTGTGGTGTGAAACATAGGACGTCGTAGCACTGGTTTCGAAAAATCGGCATCATTACATGACATTGTTCTGTACATTGAAAATAAGTGGGAACTGCGTTTCTACATTTGTCTTCACAAAGGTGAGTAACACAACCCTTTTGACTGGTAGTTTTATGTCCACTACATGACCTTTTCTTCTGATGTTCAAGTAATTAATTTGCCAAAGACAGTATCCTTCCTGGCTGAGGAATCCTTTAGCGCTAATATTATTAATCCATTACGTGAAAATAGAATTACAGGTTTACACAGTTATGATGGTATATGGTATGAGTATCTACCCAATCTCTTTTAGTTTAGCGGTGGACATTTGCACTGAAATTATATCGTAACGGGTGTAACAGGTATTTTTAAAATTAGAGATATAAATAGCTATTATATGATATTAATCCTTATCCTAATTCTGATTTGTAAATGACTTAAATTGTTCTTAATACTGATGATATAATTAGCGCCTCGACCATTACTATGTTTGTCCTATTCCAGCCAGCATTATAAGCCTTCGTAATGACCGAAAGGCCTCGTCAGCACTGGCTATGCCAAATGTATCGTGTTTGACATATTACATATTCTTCCTTGTTTTCACTCGCAAGTTCCTAGAATATATATCCATCCAATAACTCCCGTGAGGAGGTTATCGAACAAGTTAAAACGTGATAAACAATTTTTGTCTAAAATAACATCGTAAATAAAGTGTAATAGTTCATGTCGTAAGTTGGAACAAACCGAACGTTGGTGGTTAGCGATTTTCACAAACATCGGAATATATCGTTAATAATAATAATAATAGTACATCGACATAACTGTATCTAACAAAAACACTCGAATCCTTTTTAACTTACACTGTGTTAAAGTTTAAGGAAAAAAGGGACAAATGGTAATGTAGTCAGTAACTCCTAAATATGAATGTACATTGTTGTAAGGCTTCTAATGTTTTTCCATTGAAAGGGCGTTAATATGCTTTTTTTTTCAATGTTTCTAGGGAACGAAATCAATTATGTACGTGATATACCTGTTATAAGTTTCTAGGGGACTAAATCGGTCATGTATGTGATATACCTGTTATAAGTTTCTAGGGGACTAAATCGGTCATGTATGTAATATACCTATTACAAGGTTTTTTGTTTGTTGTTAAGCATGTATCGAACCCCTGTTTTTAGCGTTAAAAGCCTCCAGACTTACCACTGAGCCAGTGAGTGTGTGTGTTGGGGGGGGGGGGTATCTAAGGTATGAAATAAATTACATGTATGATATATCCAAGCCTGTAGCCAGGTCTGGAACTGGAAGTGGATTGTTGTTGTTGTTGTTGTTTTTGGTCCAAAGTTGAACTCGTTTCATGTGCAATTTCAGTGACCAGGGACTAATAAATAAATAATAATAATAAAAAAAAACGTAATGGTTTCTTTATTATCACTTCAAATAAACATTTCTAGTTAATTTCCTCTGATAAGTATGAAAATGCTATTTCCTCGTGTATGTACAGTGTTACAAAATCAATTATATAATGAGAGGCCATCATTAAAGAAAGGAAAAAATAAATGTTAATAAGCGAGCGGAACTCCGGCAGGGGTGGGGGTGTGTTCGTTCGCGACCTCCGAATCCCTCCCCCTGGCTACGGGCTTCATATACTTGTGATAAAGGTATGCAGAAATAGAACCAATCAAATATACAATATACTTGCTACAACAAGTTTTCTAACGAATAGCCTCAAAGTGTCCTTGTCACGATATTTCGAAGGGACTAAGTAGCCGCGAGTAGTATATGTGGTAATATATTACTGAATTGTTCTTATTGTACGTAGTACGTTACTCTTCTTTTTCTCTGCTACAAATACTTCTTGTGTTTCAAAATATACTGGACATCAATAATTGTGACATTCAATCAATTTCTCGAATTATGAATAAAGTATTGAGCAAGTAACTGACCCCAGCAGTTAACCTTTACGCTTTAAAGAACGTGCTGAATTTCTTCAGTATCTTGCTGTATAGCGTTGTTTAGGCGTCTTCTAGCCGTGGAACCTTTTTTCACAGTTAGGAGCTTATGTGAAACGGGTTCTTGCCGTTGCTAATCGGCGAGACAATCCATTGAACCTTCAGAGACAGGCGGCTCTCACAGGCACGCTTCACGCTGTTTGGGAACGCCTGGGTTGCTTTATACAGCCTCGGGGTGTAGGATTGCCGAAGCCAGTGAGTGACTCTTCAAGAATATTAGGGTACAATTAGTGGGAGAAAAATGAAAGCATATAACCCTGGTGCTCGCTTGGGTGTGGAAAGTGTTTAATCGGATGGATAAAAACCACGGAGTCTGGTTTTCTATACCGGGGCGCGCTAGCTGATCGAGACCTTGGATCAGTGGTCGTTTAGATGTAGTGTGTCATTTCCGGCATGTGTCATTCACGTCACTTTATAGTTTATGTGGCACATTTTCTTTGATAGAACCCCCCACTCTGTAATTATCCTTTCTTTTATCTTTTTTTCTAGCATCTCGGTGAAGTCTGATATAGAAAGTTAAGATGTAAAGGATTTTGTTGTATTATTTCTTCGTACTTGTAAATGTTTAGTATTAGGTATAATATAAACCAGACTAGCATGGCCTGTGTCGATTAGGTCACTTGACGCCCAATGTGTGGGTCATGGGTTCGAATCTTGCACCGAATATGTTCGCCATTTCAGCTGTGGGGGCGTTATAATTTCGTTGGTAAAGAGTAGCCACAGAGTGTGTCTTAAGAGTAGGGTTTTAACTTTACTCATTTTCATTATCCAGTTTAATAACAACTACTAATTTCTGTAAAGACAAGTTGAAATCAAATATGGGAACCTTTTGTATTAATTAAAAACTGTCATTGTCTTGCTAGTCTTAAAATGAGTGGTACAAAGATAATTGTACTTCTATTAAATTGACTGCGAAATGGGCGGCTACTGCCTATTAGAGAAACGCTTGTACGAATCCCCGTCACACCAAACATGCTCGCCCTTTTAGCCGTGGGGGCGTTATAATGTGACGGTCAATCCCACTATTCGTTGATAAAAGAGTAGCCCAAGAGTTGGCGGTGGGTGGTGATGACTAGCTGCCTTCCCTCTAGTCTTACACTGCTAAATTAGGGACGGCTAGCGCAGATAGCCCTCGTGTAGCTTTGCACGAAATTCAAAATAACTAACAATCTACTTCTGCAATTGTAAAAGACGACGTTTCGAAAGTCTTCTGCCTTTCGTCATCAGGTCCTAATAGGCAACAGCCATTCATTTCACAGTAAATCCAATATGGATACTTTGCCTAAACTATCCATCAAAGAGTACTTCTACTATGTTTTTGGATGTTTACCTGTGTAACTAACTATTATCTATAAGATGTTTTGATAATAATATTAAAGATTATAAAGGTACTATATCGTAGCGTCAAACCAGCCGATTTGTGAGTTACCTTAAGACTTAAATCACCAAATACACTAAAATAAGACAAAAGAATAAATGAAAAACAAGAGGGAATTCTCAATAGCCGCGGCAATCGAAACTATTTTAGGCAGGATTAGATGACGTTAATCTATGAGACCTTGGGCGTGGTCAAATACACCAATTGAAAGGGTTTGACCCCCTGAGTCCAAAACTGTAATTAGATCTAAATCGGTTAAGGGATCACGGAGCTATGAGTTAAAAGTGGAAAATAACAAACTCGGGCCATTCTATGAGACGCTATGTCGCGGCTAAAATTCCATTAAAACTATGTGAAGGTATTTTAACTATAGGACTGTGGATAGAAATATGTTCGTGTAAATATGATAATAATAATAATAGAATTTATTGCTCTAGAAGAAAAAAAGCTGAATAAGAAAGCTCATAACATAAGAAAAACTCTTACTAAAAAGCCTTAAAAGGCTTGTTAAAACAATGATAAAAAATTGGTATCTTGCATCATATGATACTCGCAAGTGATGCTTGCACGCAAAAAAAAAATCAATAAACCCACTCCTTAGACTTTTGTTAAAATTAATGACACGTTATCACCACTATATATATGTGTACGTGTGTGCGAATATATTTATGCTACATGTCACATCTAAGTGCCATACAACACCAGTACTGCTTGTTGTACAATCCGCTTAATTTTCCTATGTAAGCTTTACTACTAGCATAAAATACCTGCGCTCCGCTTCGAGGTTCAGAGGTTCCCTTGTTATTCACAGAGATCCCAGTGTATCATCACACTCAATTAACCGTATAGCTACCCCAAAGTTGGAGGGGGATCTGTACTCGAAAGTATGATACCCGAGTACGTGTGCCAAGTTTGGTTCCATAGCTTGTAATTAAAGATATGGACACTTTCAGAAATGGCTCCCCTGGAATCCCAAGGGGGCCTAGACACACAAAATCCGATACCAGATTTGAGCCTAGTAAACCTTCAAATCTACTCCTAGACCGCTCCCTCACCCCATCATGTGTGGGTGACTTTCCGAAGGCGTTTTAACCACCCCTGGTTCTCTCTTGATAGATAATAAGGCCTTCCCGAAGGCACCCCGAGTCCGCCTACTAAGTTTGGTCCTGCTAACTCAAAAAAGGTGGGAGGAGTTCACGGACAAACAAATTCACAAACATACAACACGAATTAATATATGAACTATTATTCATGATCGATTCCCTTATATTATCATTCTAGGTGTTGTCAGTTCTGCATTCGTATCTTATTTCACATTTAATTACACCATCAGTACTGATTTAGATTACTGTTCACCTTGTACTGTACTTTGTTCCTAATTTTTTCGTCGCCATTACAAGTATTTAACTTTTTATTTCACGTTTAGTTTCATTGTATCATCATTACTACAAATTACACATCCTGTTTGGCTCGCATCGTCAGTCAGTACTATACCGATAAACATTTTGTATGGTTTCCATCATTGATAGTGGTTAGTATATATTCTACCTTGTTTCCTTTACACCATCGACGCTCTATCTATTGGCTTCCCCAGTTCTCCTTCATCATCAACGCACTATCTATTGGCTTCCCCAGTTCTCCTTCATCATCAACGCACTATCTATTGGCTTCCCCAGTTCTCCTTCATCATCAACGCACTATCTATTGGCTTCCCCAGTTCTCCATCATCAACGCACTATCTATTGGCTTCCCCAGTTCTCCATCATCAACGCACTATATATTGGCTTCCCCAGTTCTCTTTCATAACCAACGCTCTATCTATTGGCTTCCCCAGTTCTCTTTCATAATCAACGCTCTATCTATTGGCTTCCCCAGTTCTCTTTCATCATCAACGCACTATCTATTGGCTTCCCCAGTTCTCTTTCATAATCAACGCTCTATATATTGGTTTCCCCAGTTCTCTTTCATCATCAACGTCATATATATATATAGCTAATCTTGTCGAAACGTTGTACATTTATAGTAGTTTTCTTCATTGCCTATTCAAGCCGTCTCCAAGTTTTTATTTAGTAAAAAAGTGGATTCCTCATCATCAAATCAAACATTAATTGTTGCTTTCCCCGATTCCCCTTCATTATCAACACTATTTACTATAGGATGTGCATAATTCCATAATCTATATCAGTTACTATATATTCTCCCTGGGTTTGTACGTCGCAAATGCTACTTACATTGTACGTTATGCTAGGTTTCCTTAGTTTATACCAATCATTCATAGATCATTACCTTGCAAGGTGTATAACATCTTATGACTGGCAACTGGTATTGATCTGGTTAAGAATAAAGTGATTAAACATTTTTCCAGTCTTGCTTCGTCATCTTCAGCGTTATAAGTTTTACAATTTATGTTTAATGGATGTCTGACGAAGTACTTTTCAATTGATGTTTTGTACGTTGTGCACCAACTGGCCTGATAAGCCCTGGTATTTAACGAGGGATCTCATGGCAACTTTCTACAACAAAATAGAAATAAAGAAAAATCAATGCTATTATGCTACTGTGTCTCATCTCCTCGTATGACAGATAGTACAGATGGCTTCGATATCTTACACAGATATAATTTATATTACTCATTGTTTCTTTCCTGGTACTTTTAACACCATCTATATATTGCGACAAACCAATTGTGTTAAAGAATATATGGTCCTATTTATATTTTTTCTCGCTAGCATTAACATTACAAATAGTGAAATTTATTCTAGAACGAACATAACAAGAGTCTGAACAGATGAAAAAGGGGTTGCAATAATCTCAACCACAGATCCCCTTTGTCGTTGTTAGTGACTCCTTACTTATACAAGAGTAAATAAATGTCTAAATTCTGATTGTGAGTCCAGAACGTGGCCTCGTGGTTACTTATCGGACTGGGGATCCGAGTGCTTCGGGTTCGAGATTTGGTATTACCAAACATGCTTCGCATTTTCACTTGTGGGTGCGATATGAGAGTAGCAGTCAATTCTGGTAAGCTGTTAAGATTAGCAGCTTCAGGCAGCAGTTGCTGACTCCTGATTTACTTTCTCTCGTTCGCAGTTCAAATTAGGAACGACTATACCTGAAGATTAAGATTCTCTGGCGTGGCTGTTTAGCCCATTCTGTACATGAGCTATCGTTTGTGAACGTTCTGATTGTGTAGATATTTAATAACAAGCGCTTGACTTTGAAGAAAGCGTAAAGTCAGTTTATTGTAAAAAAATCTGCTAGTGCCACCGTTGTTTATTTATTCTCTTAACATAATATTAACTTTTCTGCTAAGTGAGTTTTGCTGTAATATGCCAGTGTAAATATTTTATTGTGAGATCTGCTTTATATCCAGTATTTGTCTTTTAATATGGTTTTACTAGAATACATAATCCATTGACGGCTTATCCATCTGATAATTTTCTTTTTAAGGTCTGAGGCCAACGAGTAATGTTCTACCCTGATTTACTTCTTCCCATTCCACCATTTGAAGCACGCTCAACTAAATCAGAAGGACACATTAAGGGACCTCTTTTACCACCAGGACGAGAGAAAGAGATTCCATTGGATCTCTCTAACAAATCTATTAGTCAGACACCGGTTGGTGTAGTGGAAGCTGAAGAAATGTTTTTTCTCGAACAGCAGAAGTTTGGTGCGGTTGGTGCCCCCCAGGGGTTTCAAGCAGGTTTACATAGACACCTTTCGGGTGTGGGAGGGTCTTCTGGAACTTTATTAGATCCAACACTTCTCAGATTAGGTTACAGGACCGATGCTGCCATAGATAGCATGTTGAGCGCCAATATGTCATCGCCATTTTGTGTAGATAGAACACCGGTTCCATCAGCAACGCCAGCTTTTGGATCTCACCACATGATGAATAATTTTTTCCACCAACCGGATCAACATAGTGGTATTTATGGATCGGCTCGTCCCCCGATGCAACAATTCTCTTCATTCTATGAACCTTCATCATCATCGCTACTGTTTCGGCCTCCGAAAAGTAGTTTGACCGATCGCAACTCTAATTTAACACAGAGAAGCCTTTACGAACAATCCAATCCAAGCTCCTTAGCATTACCAAGTTTGTCATTATTCCCTGATGGGACTCAAGAGAAAGGAGCTTTCGTGGCTCTCCGATCGGGTGCTGAGAAAAACGTTTTGAATGGCGCCTCATTTGAAGCAACAACCTATGCTGAGCATCTGCAACGGCTAGGTGAACATCGCGTCCAGAAAAACAAATGCCTTGGTGCATGTTGCTCCTCATCCTTTGGTAACTTGGGTCAACCCCAAAGCTCCTGCTCCTGCTGCTCATCTTCACAAATGACACTTTGTGCCCGTGGGCCGATGGGCTACTTAGGAAAGGAACATTCATGTGATAAATTGTGTAGTGGTGGATATTTTAATCCTTCTCTTTCATACCTTGGTCAACATTCGACCATTGGCGATATTCGTTTGTCTATGAATCCTTTCTATGTCAAACTCGGAGAACATGTAAGAAGGGAAGAATCTTTTGGTTCAATATTCGCTCCAAATCCAAATTTATGGGGCTCAGAATTATCAGGAGCTCCAGTTAGCAAGGCTGTGGTCCATGCATCGTCCCCAGTTCTCAAACTAAATGACAGCAGTAACTTGGGTCAGAAAGAAAGCCCACGTTCTACCAAGGACTCTCTAGTTTCTTCAAGTTCCACAAAGAATCGAGACGTTGTCTCCAATAATAGCCATTTTCCAGTTTCTAGTTCAAAGACAGAAATTCTGAGAAAAGCACCCAATGAGGTTATTGTTACTGAAAGTGAATCGAAGAGCAAGTGCGTTAAACAGCATTCCTCGAAAATGAATCTTCAGCCATCTGATCATGAAACCGAAAACAAAGATAATCAGAATGAATTTCAGAGACAATTTGCCACTGAAAATGTTCCGTCCCATTCTACTATACATAGTTCTAAAGAAACAGACTTTTGTGAAACCAGAGTGAAGATGCCACAACTGAAAGCTGTAACCAGGTTCGAGAATTGTTCCGATAATTCTCAAGTGCACGAAAAAAAGTCTTTGGATCCTCCACCACTCACAGCCGCAGAGGCTATTATAAACTCCGATCAAGCAAATATAACATCGTCTGTATGCAAGTCTTTATGGATGCCTCATTCACCAAAAAATTCAACTCCTTTTTCCACAAGCTCACCAACATTTGTCACACCTCTTTACTATAAATCATCCAAAAATTCTTTCATCAAGAAGAGAGAGAGACAAAATATGGAAAATGACGAATTAGTGGCCAAGTTTCCGGACAGCCATTTATTCAACCAAAACCAAACGTCATCGCTTCCTTACAGACTAACAAACGATATTCAGCCTACTTTCTTGAACGCTGAGCTTGCCAAAGAACCTGGATGTTCACGATCAACTCCATCCTCGCACAACCATACAGATCCTAGTAATTACAACCAGACACAACAAGTTTACACCAACTATATAGAACAGGATTCGGATTTTCCGCCATCTCTAAAGAATCATCAAAAGACTGGTGAACTCTCTAAAAAGTTTATACTGGCTTGTGATCCATATTACTTTTCACAAGAAAAATCAGAATACACATTCGACGACCCTGAGAGTAATTTTTCACCGTTAGATGGCGGTGGCCTTAAGGCAAATCGCAAAAGATCTATGCTACATTATATGACCAGTTCTGATGAACGTGATATCTCGAAGACAAAGACTATTCCTCTAAATAGTTTTGTCGACCAAACGAAATTAGTGAAAGAAGAAAAAGAATTTCAGGTATGTATATACGGAATAGAATTTATTCCTTTCATCACTAAAGAAGCACTTTTTAATACACAACATACATGATAATGGTTTGCGTTAAAAAAATGTAAACTGGTCCTATAATATACCTGTTGTTTTAAGACATTTACACGCTCTTTAAGATATTGATGTCAGGTATATAAAGGTTTTGCGTGCACGTTTAGAGAAACCCTAATGATATCCGCGATGTCCACCCCAGCAATACTTCAAGAACGTATGTTCCGTGACAGTGTCTTGATTGGTCATCGGAAATCGATGGCGTGCAGATTATATACACGTGGACGCGAACTTGCTCTTTTACCGCGAACTGTTAGCGTGTCTGTAGCAGTTGTTCGCTGACTGGTTTCCTATTCTTTACGGCAGCAGTTTGGTATCGACTGAAGTTAGGATGAACGTGATATTGGTATAGGCTCTTAAAAAAAAACTAGATAATCGGGCATACTCTATGTTTGATTTATTACCATTTCATGCTTGTTTTACTGACACTTGAATTGTAAAACTGCTTGTCGACCTCTTCATAAATTCAAAAACAAACGACAATGAAATTCGCATGAAATTAAAATATTACAATTAAAATATTAAATTTCTCAGCACTTTAAATATTTGGAGCTAATACTCATTAATTACAGAATCGTTTTCAACCTGTTCAGTACCTTTCCCTATAAATTATTATGTCTGTTCTTGTTTTCATATATTAGATAACAACTCTCTACTATGGGTTATAGTATTCGCCAAAATTAAATTAACGGTTAGATTTAATTTTAAGCTTTACATTTTATGCAGTTAGAGATTTACGAACATGCCACATATGCATAAATCGTATCCAATACGTCTTTGTTAAGTGCAGAGATTTCTCCGTATCTGTGCGTCCATTGCAAAGAATGTCAGAATTTAAGCACTTAAACTAAACTGGATCTATATACTAAACGTTTTTCGTTAATTGCTCCAAAATATGCAGTATCATGAACTGAAATGTATAATTAACAACGCTATAAACTGTAGCTGCAATAGAACATTGGTGGTCGATTTTTTTAATGCCATTTAACAAAGTTCTTACAATATTTTTTTCTCAAAAGTTTAAAATTTGTATTGTATGAAAAAAATACTATAAAAGAAAATAAATGCATCATTTGTAGAGTAAACACCAATTCAGTTCTGTTGATCTAAAGGTTGTATGTATGTTAAGTCGCTAAGTAAACCTTAAGAAAAAATACAACTTGTAGTTGATTTCTAATATAAACGGAGGGTGTGATTATTGTTTATTAGATCTGGTAGTTATTTTTTATTTTGATTCAAAACATCCTGAGTAAAATATGAATCTTTTTACGAGTTACTATCTTTTATATATTCGTTCCTATTTTATCAAAGAATCACTGTCTCTGGAGGAGAAGTGCTTGAAAGCTCTAGTCCATAATTACAAGTTATTCTTCATTTTAGTGTTATTTTCAATGTACTATTTAGTTTCTTTAAACCTAATAATGATCAGTTGTGACCTAGATTATCGCACTCGGAATGTGTATCTGAGAATTCCTTATTCGAATCCCTTTGCCGCTAAAACGCACTCCACACTTAGGAGTACGTTTGAAGAGCGAAGTAAAATTCTGCTATTCTGTCAGAAAAAAAAGAGTATACCAAGAACTGTAGGTGGATGATGTTAACTAGTTGACTCCCCTCTTGTCTATCAGCCTAAAAGTAGTGACGACTATGCAGCTTTGCGCGAAAATTATCTTAAAAACAAACAATATATCTGATATTTTTATTCAGTAAGATGTTTAAAGTGACGTGCCAACATAAATTACCCTAACTATCATAACTGTTACTTTTAAAGATTGATTTACAAATATATCAGGTCGATGATAAGATATGAGGTGCTTGTTCATTTGATGGTTTTAGACACTTGTCAACAAAGACTCAATAAAAGTTGCCTCAAAAGTCAGAGGCTCGGAGACTAGCTTAATGAGGTTAGTGCTGGTTATTACTTGCTGTTAGTCATCATAGCAGAAATTCTCTTACAATTCTGAAATAGTACCAAAGGTATAAAGAGAATCACGAAATATTTTGTCTCAAACAGTAATTCTAAAATAACACCTTAGTGTTCAACCAATGAATTGTTTGTGTTTGTTTCAGAATTTTTCCATAAGCAGTATCTGCATATAGTATTCTCTATCGTCAACAGCATCTATCTCCAACTCTTGAGATACTCTTGTCTCAATAAGTAGGGTGGGCTTTGACTCGTATAGCACACCCACGGCTCTAAATGCGAAACGCCATTTGTAGCAACTGGCCGCGAACCATTAACCCTCGGATTCACAGTCCGAGCACGTTAACTATTAGGCCATGCCTGACCCAAGTTAATCAAAAGTTACAAAATTATATTTGATCCTATCACCAATTGCTTCTCATTAGAATTTACTATCTTGACTAAAGAATTTAATTTGGAGAATTGATCTTACTTATTTTGTATGTAAAGTTGTTTTAACAAACTTTCCAGTCCACACCGTACGATTAAGCAAGCAAAGGAAGTTATGTTAACATTTAACAAGGTTTAAGTAGTGTTTATTATTTTTTCAGGCCACATTCACCAAGTGTAACTATAAAGCTTCTTCTAGTACTTCTGAAGGTAGGTCCGATTATTTAATTTTCATTCTACAAATCATTATTGTTCAAAAATCCAAGAATCAAAGGTAAATACTTACAACCATTACCATCCATTAAAAACGAACTCTGATTTTTCACGTACAGGTGAAAGTTATATTAAAAAAATGTTATATACACATTATTGGTTTATACATTGCAGTGCTTCTACACCATAAGAAAAGAAAACTATTTGAATAACATTTTCCAACAATATACTTCTGAAGAGATAAGTTGATTTTGAACAATCAGTTGAAACTTTGCTCAAGAGATATTATACGTGACGATAAAAATCTGATGAGTTGTTGTTGTTAGCTATAATTAATTTACCTACGTTATGAATTTAGAAGTATCTTAGACTGTGTTAGATTGCAGAAATGGCCCGTCGCCGCTACGATTTAAAAATATACATAGGAAATACCCTCAGGTGGCCAAATCTGATTATTGATCGATTTTTTTTTGTGTGTGTCGGAGATTATGACTTAAGGATGACAACAAGGAGTGGTAATGGAAGAATTATTTTGGATTTTAGTCTCATTGGAATATTGTTTTTAATTTGTATTAAGTTCACTCTTCTTTTATAGTGCTGAGTCAACCGCCTATGGACAACTAATGTATTTCATACTATTATATGCAATTATGGGAGAAATGTTAGTGGGAAATGGGGAGGGGCACAAGTAACTCTTGCTCTTGTGCCTTTTAAATCTTTACTATGCTACTTTCCATTGACATTTTAAGCTCAAAGACTCTCCTTTACTGGCTTTTTGGTTCCGATTGAATTAAACAATTTTTAATTGACTGAATATCTGTTTGTTTTCCAGTTCATGGCATAGTCATATTACTCAACAGCTCGAAATTTACCTTTTCGGTCGACCTTGTTTGTTGTGGTGTTAGCGTTAACACAAAAGCCTAGTATCTCTCGTGACACCCCCCCCCCTCCCCCACTGACTCAGCCGTAAGTTTGAGCGGTAAAAAGCAAAAACTAAAATAAAACAGACATAAGTGTTATCACTTATATCTGTTCACTATAATTTGATTTTCTTCATAATACAACTAAAGTTCATTTCCAAGCGTAATTATTATATAAATGATCAAAACATTCAGTTTTCCATCCAATAACCTGAATATGTGTTCGATATTAACTTCTGTTCTGGTTTCTTATCTTAGTTGCTGAGAACACCAAGGTAACGCTTAAACTATAGTTTTTCTTTTAAATATAAAGTTTTTGTCTTCATCGCAAAGCTGCAAAACACGTTCTCTATCCACCGCGGGTAATCGAACCCCGGATTTTAGCGTTGTAAGTCCGTAAATGTACCGCTGACTTATCAGGGGCCTAAATATAAAGAAGGCCAAAAATTAAATAATCAAGTAAGTTTTAATTTCCAGAAGACGGATAATGAAAGTTAGTTTCAGATAGAAAGAGCTTCTTCAGTAGTAAGGATAAGAATTAAGTTTGATCAAACAAATTTCGTTTTATAACAAATACAACTTTTGCTATGCTGACTTTACACTCTCCAAAAATATTTCATGTAAATAAAAACTAACACTCTCTATAAAAAGTTGAAACTGAAGATTTCAATGAGTTAGTTAACGCCTGAATTTATATGTGCACAGTAATTAGTATAACCAACTGTACTTGCATTATTTACAAGGAGCAACAACTTGTCCTACCAGAAGTACCCAAAAAGGTGAAACCTTCCAATTTTCCTCTGTGCAATCCCATTTAAGGCACTACATAACACCGTTAAAATGCATCTTTCCACGCTCATGAACACGTTTCTTGATTGTACCCTGTATAATAAAGGTCCTAATTCAACTTAAACATATCTTCATCCTCATTTTCCACAAAAGCAAGGCTCGTACGTTTTACTAAGGACAGTGGACAAACAATAAGTAGCCAACAGAAGGAACCACTGTAGGGTCATTTATTCATACAAGTTCCACAGTGGCTTGTTCATAAGTTCCTTCATTTTTAATCTGTGCGCCCTCAAGTTATAAATGCACACTCGAATGCAAAACGTACTTGAATAGGCAGCATTTTATCGTAGCTACAGCAGAAGTGACTACAGAGTTCGTTGACCGTCGCTTATAACCCCATGTGAAACTTATGCAAATATATTACCCACTAGTGTCTCTTATAAATGGTTACTTACTGCATGCATGAATTTCTACCCTGTGTTTTGGTTATGTCTGTTCCGAAAGTAGCGCTATCGTCCCACGTAATTAACGACGCCAGAGGGCCAAACCATGCGACAACCAATTTCGTAATCGCTATAGATATACAGTCTTCTGACACCGGTACTACGGTGTATAAGTAATACATGCCTTATTTAAAGAAAAAAAATCACACACACACACACCAGTACACAGAGAACATAGTGTAGTTTTGTGCCTAACAACAAACAAACCGGGTGTGGTCAGGTGGCTGTTTTGTCATACAGTAATTTATTGTAAATAGGCGATCAAATAAGCACTATATAACAATAATGAAATTATACAAACCAAAACCAAAACGTTTACAATGAAACTTAAAAAAAATAAATTAAACCTGCAAAAATGTGTCCATTACCAGTCCTTGTCATAATTGAAATTGCCTGTGGTCATAGCGCCCAAAAGCGTTGGGGATATTCGATCTATCAGACATGATCCAAACGCAGATGTCGAATAAGTTAGTAGCCACGGGGAATCAATTATTTTAACTGTCATCATCCTCTCAATCTTTCACAAAAATTGTTGAAGTATAAACCGGGTGAGCTGAGACAAGCATAGCTATCTGAAGCTGGTATTTCGGTTCCAGTACACTGAACACATACCTAAAAAAAACATTATAGTTAATTATTTATAAGCCTCGAATGGCCTTAAGTGACGACCTCTATGTATTCCAGAAAGTAATTTGTGTAATAAAAATTTATTTTTTAATATATTATCATATTTACTATGAAAGAGTGTAAAAAATGTCTATTTTCCGGTCTTTGTAACCATTATTTTATAAATGTATTTGTTAATAATTGAACATTAATTCACAAAAGAATTAAAAATGGTTAAAACTGTCGTATATCGCTCAATAATATAAACGGAACTATACTATTTAAGGTGGGTAAACCAAGGATAGGAAAACTGAAATCCTGTCTTTTATCAAAAATAGTTAACTGTACTCTGCCTTACAAGAAAACAATATCTAAATAGTGTTCATGGTTATGACTGTTATTACTTCTATCTTTTTTAAGTTCCTTAGGATAAATTTGTGTTAAAATTTAGATTATTGATGGAGAATAAATCATAAGTATAACGCAAGGTGTCACTGTACAAATTAGAGTTTATTAAATTGTTCACAAATAAGTATCTCGTAGAAGTACAGATACATGTTAACTATGTTTGTGGAAAAAATTAGCTCCCATAAGAATACCTATCGTTTATTTGAATACGTTTTCATTAAAGATAATGTAACTATTACATATACAGAAATTAAGTATATTTCTACATTGATACTTAGGAAATTTACTTTTAGAAATGATTATTTCAGTATTTATAAATTGATAAATTAAACCATTAAAAACTCTAATTAAATCTTTCAAATATGCTTTGGTACATAATGTAGTAAAATCATATGTAGTAACAGAATTATGCTGCTTTTAAATAATTTAAATTATTTACCATTTCAAAACTGGAATATTATATTTAAGTGTCCAAAAATGATGATTTAAATCATATAATGATAGTTAATTTTATTTTTTCAAATAAAACATCTAGAACGTTATTAAGTACAATAGATAAAGATTTAGTAACAATGTTTAAAGACTTTGTAATAAACCTAAACTTAACAGGCGTTTCATACAGTTTCGGAATTGTATACAAAAATGGTAAATTAAAACAAGTAGAATCTATATTTTTATTCCATTTTTGATTAACTTTCTTCAACTTTAATGTACTTTTTGAAAATATTTTAGTTGTATTAATTTCGTTAATTATAATTTGTGCATATAATTTTTTACATATAAAACTAACATTACAACGTGCTTTATCAATTGGAGTAATAATTAATTGTTCTTCAATTTCTCTAATTTTATCTTTAAAAGTATTAAAAGAAGTATTTATATTTAGATAAATATAAAGGTTTTAATTTTTTTGTAGTTTTAATAACGAATAATGAGATTTTCTACTAATTTTGTTAATGTAATTACCAATATTGTTGTGGTGGGCAGAATACAGATAGCCCATTGTGTAGCTTTGGGCTTAACTTCAAACAAACAAACAAACCAATATTGTTTTCTAAATCTTTTGATATTTCACTTTTGTCTTTCCTAAAATTCTAAATGTTTTTGAAAGAAAAGGAAGGAGGATGGGAGTTTAAACAATTATTACAGAATTATTATGGTAACGGTTTTTGGTTCTATTTAACACCATTGGACATATTTTTGTGATAATTATTTAAAGGGTGGAGGTTGGGAGTTTTACAAAATTAGAAATAAGGTGGTTTATCTATATATTACTAAAACTCTGAGACTGTTTGTTTGCTTATCTGTAATTAAATACAGACAAAACAGCACACAATAGCGCCATATTTGTAATGAAAAGAGAATAGAAACTGAATAAAACAAGTTTCGTTAAAATCGGGTTACCGAGTTAGCGCCGTGTTTCGGGTTACTTTTATGAAAATTTCTAGCATGAGTAATTTTACATCACACTACCGTTCGCGCTCTTTACGAAACTTCTTCGTTCAAAATTTATTTCCCTGTTCCTATCTTTGAAAAATGAAATGGTCTTTCCTTTTACTCCCGATCAACAATCAAATATCTTTTCTTGAATTATGAATAACGCGAATGGATTGAAATATATAATTAAATTATCTCAAAATAAATCTTCATTTCGGTACAATATTGAAATTAGCTTGAATTCTTCATAACCTCTGAATAGTGGGTGACTCAACGGGTCACGGGTGGTCTAGTTTCTACTAAAAGGTTAGTTTTATATCTAGATATTCGGACA